TTAAATTTGCAATACATGTTCCTTGTCAATGTTCTAGATGAAGATGAAGATCGCAGGAAACGTGAAGACGACGAAGATGAGGAAGACGAAGAAGATGAGGAAGACGAAGAAGATGAGGAAGATGAAGAAGGTTAATACAACCACACACTTCCAGACACTTATTTATTGCTTTCCTTTGCAATCAGAATTTTGTGGAAGGAAAAATGTAATGTTATGCTATCCTGATATGACACAACAGTATTGTAAATTTAACGAAGGCCAGTCTGTTTCTTGATTTAAACACATGATCTTATTTATAGATGCAACTTATTTAAATTTGCAATACATGTTCCTTGTCAATGTTCCAGATGAAGATGAAGATTGCAGAAAACATGAAGAAGACGAAGATGAGGAAGACGAAGAAGATGAGGAAGACGAAGAAGATGAGGAAGATGAAGAAGATGAAGAAGGTTAATATAACCACACACTTCCATACACTTATTTATTGCTTTCCTTTGCAGTCAGAATTTTGTGGCATTGTTCACAAATTTCTAACTTCCCAAGGAAGAATGTAATATTATGCTATCCTGATATGACCCAACAGTATTGTAAATATAACGAAGGCCAGTTCTGTTCCTTCATTTAAACACATGATCTTATATATGGATGCAACTTTTTCACATTTGCAATACATGTTCCTTGTCAATGTTCCAGATGAAGATGACGATCGTAGGAAACGTGAAGACGACGAAGATGAGGAAGACGAAGAAGATGAGGAAGACGAAGAAGATGAGGAAGATGAAGAAGATGAAGAAGGTTAATACAACCACACACTTCCAGACACTTATTTATTGCTTTCCTTTGCAATCAGAATTTTGTGGAAGGAAAAATGTAATGTTATGCTATCCTGATATGACACAACAGTATTGTAAATTTAACGAAGGCCAGTCTGTTTCTTGATTTAAACACATGATCTTATTTATAGATGCAACTTATTTAAATTTGCAATACATGTTCCTTGTCAATGTTCCAGATGAAGATGAAGATTGCAGAAAACATGAAGAAGACGAAGATGAGGAAGACGAAGAAGATGAGGAAGACGAAGAAGATGAGGAAGATGAAGAAGATGAAGAAGGTTAATATAACCACACACTTCCAGACACTTATTTATTGCTTTCCTTTGCAGTCAGAATTTTGTGGCATTGTTCACAAATTTCTAACTTCCCAAGGAAGAATGTAATATTATGCTATCCTGATATGACCCAACAGTATTGTAAATATAACGAAGGCCAGTTCTGTTCCTTGATTTAAACACATGATCTTATATATGGATGCAACTTTTTCACATTTGCAATACATGTTCCTTGTCAATGTTCCAGATGAAGATGACGATCGCAGGAAACGTGAAGACGACGAAGATGAGGAAGACGAAGAAGACGAGGAAGACGAAGAAGATGAGGAAGATGAAGAAGATGAAGAAGGTGAATACAACCACACACTTCCAGACACTTATTTATTGCTTTCCTTTGCAATCAGAATTTTGTGTAAGGAAAAATGTAATGTTATGCTATCCTGATATGACACAACAGTATTGTAAATTTAACGAAGGCCAGTCTGTTTCTTGATTTAAACACATGATCTTATTTATGGATGCAACTTATTTAAATTTGCAATACATGTTCCTTGTCAATGTTCTAGATGAAGATGAAGATCGCAGGAAACGTGAACACGACGAAGATGAGGAAGACGAAGAAGATGAGGAAGACGAAGAAGATGAGGAAGATGAAGAAGGTTAATACAACCACACACTTCCAGACACTTATTTATTGCTTTCCTTTGCAATCAGAATTTTGTGGAAGGAAGAATGTAATGTTATGCTATCCTGATATGACACAACAGTATTGTAAATATATCGAAGGCCAGTCTGTTCCTTGGTTTAAACACATGATCTTATTTATAGATGCAACTTATTTAAATTTGCAATACATGTTCCTTGTCAATGTTCCAGATGAAGATGAAGGTTGCAGAAAACATGAAGAAGACGAAGATGAGGAAGAAGAAGAAGATGAGGAAGACGAAGAAGATGAGGAAGATGAAGAAGATGAAGAAGGTTAATATAACCACACACTTCCAGACACTTATTTATTGCTTTCCTTTGCAGTCAGAATTTTGTGGCATTGTTCACAAATTTCTAACTTCCCAAGGAAGAATGTAATATTATGCTATCCTGATATGACCCAACAGTATTGTAAATATAACGAAGGCCAGTTCTGTTCCTTGATTTAAACACATGATCTTATATATGGATGCAACTTTTTCACATTTGCAATACATGTTCCTTGTCAATGTTCCAGATGAAGATGACGATCGCAGGAAACGTGAAGACGACGAAGATGAGGAAGACGAAGAAGACGAGGAAGACGAAGAAGATGAGGAAGATGAAGAAGATGAAGAAGGTTAATACAACCACACACTTCCAGACACTTATTTATTGCTTTCCTTTGCAATCAGAATTTTGTGGAAGGAAAAATGTAATGTTATGCTATCCTGATATGACACAACAGTATTGTAAATTTAACGAAGGCCAGTCTGTTTCTTGATTTAAACACATGATCTTATTTATGGATGCAACTTATTTAAATTTGCAATACATGTTCCTTGTCAATGTTCCAGATGAAGATGAAGATTGCAGAAAACATGAAGAAGACGAAGATGAGGAAGACGAAGAAGATGAGGAAGACGAAGAAGATGAGGAAGATGAAGAAGGTTAATATAACCACACACTTCCAGACACTTATTTATTGCTTTCCTTTGCAGTCAGAATTTTGTGGCATTGTTCACAAATTTCTAACTTCCCAAGGAAGAATGTAATATTATGCTATCCTGATATGACCCAACAGTATTGTAAATATAACGAAGGCCAGTTCTGTTCCTTGATTTAAACACATGATCTTATATATGGATGCAACTTTTTCACATTTGCAATACATGTTCCTTGTCAATGTTCCAGATGAAGATGACGATCGCAGGAAACGTGAAGACGACGAAGATGAGGAAGACGAAGAAGACGAGGAAGACGAAGAAGATGAGGAAGATGAAGAAGATGAAGAAGGTGAATACAACCACACACTTCCAGACACTTATGTATTGCTTTCCTTTGCAATCAGAATTTTGTGGAAGGAAAAATGTAATGTTATGCTATCCTGATATGACACAACAGTATTGTAAATTTAACGAAGGCCAGTCTGTTTCTTGATTTAAACACATGATCTTATTTATGGATGCAACTTATTTAAATTTGCAATACATGTTCCTTGTCAATGTTCCAGATGAAGATGAAGATTGCAGAAAACATGAAGAAGACGAAGATGAGGAAGACGAAGAAGATGAGGAAGACGAAGAAGATGAGGAAGATGAAGAAGGTTAATATAACCACACACTTCCAGACACTTATTTATTGCTTTCCTTTGCAGTCAGAATTTTGTGGCATTGTTCACAAATTTCTAACTTCCCAAGGAAGAATGTAATATTATGCTATCCTGATATGACCCAACAGTATTGTAAATATAACGAAGGCCAGTTCTGTTCCTTGATTTAAACACATGATCTTATATATGGATGCAACTTTTTCACATTTGCAATACATGTTCCTTGTCAATGTTCCAGATGAAGATGACGATCGCAGGAAACGTGAAGACGACGAAGATGAGGAAGACGAAGAAGACGAGGAAGACGAAGAAGATGAGGAAGATGAAGAAGATGAAGAAGGTGAATACAACCACACACTTCCAGACACTTATTTATTGCTTTCCTTTGCAATCAGAATTTTGTGGAAGGAAAAATGTAATGTTATGCTATCCTGATATGACACAACAGTATTGTAAATTTAACGAAGGCCAGTCTGTTTCTTGATTTAAACACATGATCTTATTTATGGATGCAACTTATTTAAATTTGCAATACATGTTCCTTGTCAATGTTCTAGATGAAGATGAAGATCGCAGGAAACGTGAACACGACGAAGATGAGGAAGACGAAGAAGGTGAGGAAGACGAAGAAGATGAGGAAGATGAAGAAGGTTAATACAACCACACACTTCCAGACACTTATTTATTGCTTTCCTTTGCAATCAGAATTTTGTGGAAGGAAGAATGTAATGTTATGCTATCCTGATATGACACAACAGTATTGTAAATATATCGAAGGCCAGTCTGTTCCTTGGTTTAAACACATGATCTTATTTATAGATGCAACTTATTTAAATTTGCAATACATGTTCCTTGTCAATGTTCCAGATGAAGATGAAGGTTGCAGAAAACATGAAGAAGACGAAGATGAGGAAGACGAAGAAGATGAGGAAGACGAAGAAGATGAGGAAGATGAAGAAGATGAAGAAGGTTAATATAACCACACACTTCCAGACACTTATTTATTGCTTTCCTTTGCAATCAGAATTTTGTGGCATTGTTCACAAATTTCTAACTTCCCAAGGAAGAATGTAATATTATGCTATCCTGATATGACCCAACAGTATTGTAAATATAACGAAGGCCAGTTCTGTTCCTTGATTTAAACACATGATCTTATATATGGATGCAACTTTTTCACATTTGCAATACATGTTCCTTGTCAATGTTCCAGATGAAGATGAAGATCGCAGGAAACGTGAAGACGACGAAGATGAGGAAGACGAAGAAGATGAGGAAGACGAAGAAGATGAGGAAGATGAAGAAGATGAAGAAAGTTAATACAACCACACACTTCCAGACACTTATTTATTGCTTTCCTTTGCAATCAGAATTTTGTGTAAGGAAGAATGTAATGTTATGCTATCCTGATATGACACAACAGTATTGTAAATTTAACGAAGGCCAGTCTGTTCCTTGATTTAAACACATGATCTTATTTATAGATGCAACTGATTTAAATTTGCAACACAAGTTCCCTGTCAATGTTCCAGATGAAGATGAAGATCGCAGAAAACGTGAAGAAGACGAAGATGAGGAAGACGAAGAAGATGAGGAAGACGATGAAGATGAGGAAGATGAAGAAGATGAAGAAGGTTAATATAACCACACACTTCCAGACACTTATTTATTGCTTTCCTTTGGAATCAGAATTTTGTGGCATTGTTCACAAATTTCTAACTTCCCAAGGAAGAATGTAATATTTTGCTATCCTGATATGACCCAACAGTATTGTAAATATAACGAAGGCCAGTTCTGTTCCTTGATTTAAACACATGATCTTATATATGGATGCAACTTTTTCACATTTGCAATACATGTTCCTTGTCAATGTTCCAGATGAAGATGACGATCGCAGGAAACGTGAACACGACGGAGATGAGGAAGACGAAGAAGATGAGGAAGACGAAGAAGATGAGGAAGATGAAGAAGATGAAGAAGGTTAATACAACCACACACTTCCAGACACTTATTTATTGCTTTCCTTTGCAATCAGAATTTTGTGGAAGGAAGAATGTAATGTTATGCTATCCTGATATGACACAACAATATTGTAAATATAACGAAGGCCAGTCTGTTCCTTGATTTAAACACATGATCTTATTTATAGATGCAACTGATTTAAATTTGCAATACATGATCCTTGTCAATGTTCCAGATGAAGATGAAGATCGCAGGAAACGTGAGGAAGACGAAGATGAAGAAGATGAAGAAGACGAGAAAGACGAAGAAGATGAGGAAGACGAAGAAGATGAGGAAGATGAAGATGATGAAGAAGGTAATACAACCACACACTTCCAGACACTTATTTATTGCTTTCCTTTGAAATCAGAATTTTGTGGCATTGTTCAAAAATTTCTAACTTTTCAAGGAAGAATGTAATATTATGCTATCCTGATATGACCCAACAGTATTGTAAATATAACGAAGGCCAGTTCTGTTCCTTGATTTAAACACATGATCTTATATATGGATGCAGCTTTTTCACATTTGCAATGCATGTTCCAGATGAAGATGAAGATCGCAGAAAACGTGAAGAAGACGAAGATGAGGAAGACGAAGAAGATGAGGAAGACGAAGAAGATGAAGAAGATGAAGAAGGTTAATACAACCACACACTTCAAGACACTTATTTATTGCTTTCCTTTGCAATCAGAATTTTGTGGCATTGTTTACAAATTTCTAACTTTTCAAGGAAGAATGTTATATTATGCCATCCTGATATGACACAACAATATTGTAAATATAACGAAGGCCAGTTCTGTTCCTTCATTTAAACACATGATCTTATATATGGATGCAACTTTTTCACATTTGCAATACATGTTCCTTGTCAATGTTCCAGATGAAGATGAAGATCGCAGAAAACGTGAAGAAGACGAAGATGAGGAAGACGAAGAAGATGAGGAAGACGAAGAAGATGAGGAAGACGAAGAAGATGAGGAAGATATAGAAAATGAAGAAGATGAAGAAGGTTAATACAACCACACACTTCCAAACACTTATTTATTGCTTTCCTTTGCAATCAGAATTTTGTTGCATTGTTCAAAAATTTCTTACTTTTCAAGGAAGAATGTAATATTATGCTAACCTGATATGACACAACAGTATTGTAAATATAACGAAGGCCAGTTCTGTTTCTTGATTTAAACACATAATCTTATATATGGTTGCAACTTTTGCAATACGTGTTCCTTGTCAATGTTCCAGATGAAGATGAAGATCGCAGAAAACGTGAAGAAGATGAAGATGAGGAAGACGAAGAAGATGAGGAAGACGAAGAAGATGAGGAAGACGAAGAATATGAATAAAGGTTAATACTACCACACAATTCGACACACTTATGTATTGCTTTTCTTCAGAATCAGACTTCCTGTCATTATTTAATAGTTTGTCCAGTGTAAGAAATTGTCGTGATATGTGATATAAGGCATGCAGTTATAACGAAGGCCATTTCTGTTCCACTGTCATTAAAAGATATTGTCGACGAAATAAGTGATCTACAGCTCTGTAATAAAGTTTTGTTATTAATCTTTCAGAAGAAGAAGAAGAACGCAGAGAACGTTAAGATGAAGGAGAATCAGAGTAAAGCTTCTGTTATTTGAAGATTGCAACAAAAAATACAAGGACATTTCAAATAAATTAATGATTGTTCCAACCAAATATTATGTTTTTTATCACACTGCACAGCAGAGATTTCCAATCAAATGACACTATCCCGCTTGTCTTGTACTCCGGGTATTCAATACATTTTCTTTGGGAACGAGCAATTGGAAAGGTTTCATTGTATTCACATTTGTTATCTTTTTCGATTCTATCAAACACGTAAATGTGGTGGCACATAATGTCATCTGTATGGTTCACATATACTGACGGCCAAAAGAAACATAACCACTTTAAAAGTAAAACTTGCAAACATTTAAAAACATAAGTTCAAACTAAATCAATGCAAAACACATTATCCAAACACAACACTGCTCTTTACAGAAAGTGTTACACGCATAGACACGTTTTGCTTCAGAAAATTCGAAAATGTGAAAAACATGTTCTGCTTGGGCAGCCGAAACTACACGTGTAATAAGAGTATATAAATGATACGGACGGTATGTCAGACACTCACACTGATAAAACACCACAACAGAAATGCAACGACTGACACCCGAACAACGCGAACGGGCCCTGGGTATGATACAGATGGGAGCCACCCATGCCCACATTGCTGGAACCTTTGGTTGCTCCCGTGTTGCTGTGACTAACCTGATGCAACGTTACAGAGAGACCTGGAAGACATCGGTCAAGCCAAGAACAGGCAGACCCAGATCGTCGTAAGAGATTGAGTTGGGCTCGGACTGTACGTCTTTGACAGCGACGTGACTGGCAAAGGGACGACTTCACTCACGCCGGTTGTGTCTGTTCAGTGCTGAGGTATTCAGCCAACATATTTACCGCCATTGGGGGGGAACATGAAAGGCGGAATGTTGCATTCAGGAGGTCGTGCCGTATGATGGAGGGGGTGTTATGAGTGAGTGAGTGAGTTTGGGTTTCACGACGCTTTTAGCAATATCCCAGCAATATCACCGCGGGGGACACCAGAAATGGGCTTCCCACATTGTCTTGGTCATCGTTAACGGAAATTTGACAGCATGGCGTTACATGGACGAATCTCTTCGTCCGATTGTCCGATTTTCGGTGCTCCTAGCCTACTTCTACTGTTACCTATGTCTTTCTACTAACAATACAAGTATCTACTAATACTAATAATACTACTATCACGATACTACTATGCTAATACTAAAAGTCTACTTCTTACAATACTAATTCACACAATGAATTTATAACAGCGTGGATGTTCATATATACAAAAACAACAACGCTACTCCACCGTCTCTTTCACAGTAGCTTTATACATAAACTTGTACAGTTTCCGCCCGTATTTCCCCTCCAAAAGTTGTATACTGAATCAAATTAAAAACTTCACATTTTTAAAAGTAATCCCATATATGATATACACCGGACAAATGTATCAGAGAAGGTAATTTTTAATCATTATTGTCCAAAGAAGGATTTTAATTAACGGTGGTAACCATAATTTGTTCCAAGCACCTACGGTATTCGGTAATAACATCAACAGATTAAATCATAAGTCCAAAGCACGAGAATCTGATGGCACACAAGTTCAGTAGCGTGTATGGCCACCATGTGCGTTGACAACTGCCGGTGTCCTCCCATTAGTCATACGGCCCATTAGTCATACGGGTTAAAACAACATATGGTATGGTTGACAGCACCAACAACTTCCTTAGTAATGCCCACAATTAAAGTGGAATGATCCAAGAAATACAAAATTACAACATTTAATAATCTTTTAAAACTCAGCATAGGATATATATTCATCATAGCACATATCATCATCAATGACCAAAATCTTATATGACATATATACATAAATAATCACATTAAGTAATCACTGTAAGTTAAATTATCATTAACGCGGGATCACATATTAACATTTTGAGTTTTCAGTTTCACATTTAGTGGTCAGTTGGATACAGATAACCAGCAGCGTCCAGAAACTGAACACAGTTTTTCTGGCCTACTTGGAGTTGGTCCCACAATCTGATGAGTCGGTTTTCCTTCTCGCGATATACTCGCTTTCTGCCTTGGGGAGCAGTACCAAAGTCAATTTGACGCATCTTGGCAGAGTCAGACTTCTCAATCTGCTTGATCAGTTCAACAAAACGATAAATGTTTGGATGATGATGCGGCAGAGACTTGTTCAGTCGGTAGTGGAAGCCTTCCAGATTATCGTTCGTGCGAGGTCCAATGTTTCGGTTGTGATTCCATAGAAGGATGGGGAATCTAGCATCATCACCAACCCAAGTTGTTACAATATAATCATTAAATCTCTGAGCGTTGTCTAGTGCTGGCGTATCGTCCATGGCGTCGACCAAGGCATCTTGGACGTCATCTTCCGGTAACAGAGCCAGGGATGATGCTCTTCTGACCCAGCGTCTGACCCCAGGATCTTCTTGGTACTACTTCAGGATCTTGTTGGGCAACTGCTTACTGGTACAGGGTTGGCATCGGGGTGATCTCTTCTCTGGCCCTCTTCCTCATGTTACTGACAAATCTAACAGTGTCAGGTTCTTGAGGGCCGTGGTTATCAGGAGTGGTGTAACTCTTACACGGCAAGTTTTCACGACACACTTCCAGTGGATACAGTGTTCCTTTGTAGAGTTCTTGTTGTTAAGGTGACCTTGAAACAGTACCTGCTGTGTATCTCGCCTAGAAGTAACATATTCCACTTCAATCAATCCTGCCATGATAACAAGAGTGATATGCTTGAGTCTAAAACATAGACACTTTTATGTACTAGTTTGTGTTTTTTCACTAAATTGTGTAAACTCGATTTAACTCAGTAAAGAACAGTAAATTAGTTTGAGATGAATCCTGTACTTGTTCCTAAAACATCATAGGTATTTATTTAAACTAATCCCAAGCTTTCTAATTAGTGGACTAATCCATTTTGACCAAAGGGTATATGCCTATTGTTGTTTTAACTAATCCCTCTTTTGCTGTATAACTATTGGGAGTATGACAAATGGGCGTATGACTAATGGGACATGACCCAACTGCCACACAACGCCTCCGCATGGACCTTGTGATGCTTGTGAACACATGATTGGGAAGACGACGCCATTGTTGCTGCAAAATGGTGCCAAGATCTTGCAAATTCTGTGGTTGGTTCTGGAGAGTGCGCAGACTTCTGCCAAGAGCATCCCAGACGTATTCGATGAGATTGAGGTCGGGAGACCTTGACGGCCAGTCCATGACGTTGATCCCGCATTCTGAAGGAAATTCCTTGTCAAAATTGCTGTGTGGGGTCTGGCATTGTCGTGTTGGAAGATCAAACCGGGTCCATGTGCTGCCATAAAAGGCAGAAGTTCTGGTGCCAGTACCTGGTCGCGGTAAGCAGCAGCGTTGAGGTTGCCACGGATGACAAGAAGCCTGGAACGTGCATTGCGACACAAAAGCACCCCACACCATGACACTCCCGCCTCGAAATCTGTCAACTTCCTGTACACAACACTGGGCGTAACGTTCATGACGGCGCCTCCACACCCTCGCCCTACCATCAGCAAATCGAAGATTAAACCGGGATTCATCACTGAAGACGACTTGATTCAAATTCCTCTGAGTCTATAGTAAGTGTCGCTGTGCCAACAATTGACGTTGACGTCTGTGTAATTGAGTCAGAATCGGCCCGCAGTATGGCCGTCGTGCTTGAAGGTGAGCAGTTCTCAGACGGTTTCGAAAAGTTTGCGCACTCAGTCTACCTCTAAACAGTTCATTTCTGGTTGATGTAGCCGTCAAAAATCGGTTACGGAGGTGACATAAGACAATCTGACGATCCTCTGCATGTGACGTGACACGTGGTCGACCTGGCCGAGGGCGATCAGCGGTAGTACTCGTTTGCTGTAGACGCGTCTGTAAATCATAAACAGTCCGTCGACTACAACCCATCGTCCTTGCGACTTCAGCTACGGACGTTCCCGTCTGCAACATGCCGATGGCACGTTCACGTTGCACATTTGAAAGGCGTGGCATGACAAATGGCCGTAAAGTCTTTTGTTTTCTTGTGTTTTTCTTTTTTTGTTAATGACTGCTAACAAGTATGGCTGAAAACACGTGCGGTATTATGGCCACGTGACCAGTTGCACGTGAAAAAACAATTTTGCCACTATAGTGCTGTGCACATGATTTTGATCGATTCACCTGCACAAAAACGAGTGTTATCTGAAGACAATACGTGGCCATAGCTGTTTAAATACACAATAAGGGCCCACAATGATAACTGGTCAAAATGTTAAAATTTTAGGATTGGGAATTTTTTTTTAATTTGGTTCAGTATATATTTGACTGGTTCTTGTTGAAATGTAATTATAAAACAGTCAAACACCGTTGTGTCGAAGTTGAAGTGATGCTTACTTCGAGTTATCCGAGTTCGACAAAGCCGAAAAATGATGAGTAAAGGACTACGCAGCTTATACTTCGAGACAACTAAAAGTTGGACACATCAAACTATGTAATTATGATATATCCAAATTGAATGTAAAAAAATAAACATTTGGAAATCTTCTCGCCTGGAAAACAATTTGTGTTGTATACAGTTGGATTGTTCAGGAGACCAAAAACGTATTATTGAATAAAAAAGGTATTTATGATGACGAATGGAATGCAGGTATTATCCGTATCAGACAATTATTCAATGAGAAGGGACAGTTTTACCAACGTGAAACGATGTCCAAAAGATATGGTATGAATTTAACAACTAGAAAATATAATTTGAATGTAAATGCAGTAAGGATAGGTTTTCACTACAGAGTTAAATTAAAACAAACAAATTAAATCCCAAACAAAACCCTTAAATGTTAAGGCACTAAGGGCTTAATTTTGAAACGTGTTCCTAACTTCAACCATAGAAAATACGTTTCGTCCCACACTTGAAAACCATTTCTATGTCATTTCAATTGACACAATATTCGCGTATACAATTTGAGTGCACGAGTGTAAGTTTATTTGAGTAAATGATAGGGTAATAAACCGGCTACCTGTACGTAATAATACTTTGCTGATCCCATATTAAGTTTGATAAAA